AAACCGCGCGCCTCTCCTCTGCAAAGTACAGTCTATGTAAAGAGCGCCGGTGAAAAGGCGGCTTTCAACGTGACACGTGTGCCGGATCGTGTAAAAAAGCAAGGGAAAAGAGATACTTACACGAGATGGGAAAGGATGAACCGGTGTGCCGCGGTGTGCCGCGGCTGTTCATCACTTTTACCCGCTAAATATACTTGAACGAACGGCGGTGGAGGGAAAGCGAAACGGTTCAACCTCGGATATTCTGTATCTATCTGGCCATCTGGTGCCGGCTGGTGGCCGCGTGTGAAGCTTCGTTTTGCTCGTGCCGCCGTGTACAATTTCTGGCCTGAAAAATAGTTTACGCGATATCTCGTTCGGGGCTTCGAAACGAACGGGTCGGTATAATTTCGTTCGTATTTCGATTTCGTATTTCACGAGCGTTGATCGATACCGCATACGCCCCCGGGGTTATAATCCGCTCTCTATCGTACCCGCTGTTTCCAACTCGAAACCATAGTTATTATAATATAGCTTAGGCGTGTGTCAGACGCTGTCGGAAACACGGGAACCGCGTTTCGAACCGCGTTTCGAACCTCGTTGCCGAGAAATTTCCTTACCTGATCCTCGGATTTACGCCCCCGATCCATCGTGCGATACGCTTTGAGGGGGAGTTTCGAAGATTTCGGAAAGCGTACGGACGGAGATCTTTCGACGGGAGAGAGTACGAAAGAAGCAACTCTCTCTCCTCGCGTCATGCGAGGAGTCATGGCACCTCGCATTCGGAATAAATTTTAACGCGGAAGACGAAGTTGAAGTTGGGAACGAGGGAGGGGGGAGAGGGGGTGTAAGGGAGCGTGGCAGTAGGTAGCGAACTTATGGCGGTGGAACAAACGAGCTCGACATCGTGCTGTTTTATTTCTAGTTTAGCGCGCGTCGAGGAAAAGTTGGTAGTTAAATTGGTCTGAAAGACGCTTAGCGCACGGGAATTTACGAATATTGCTGTTCCTTTAAGAACTCCGCAAGTATCTCATTTTCCAAGTTTTCAGTAATAACGACACCTTACAGTCGATTATTCCAGTCATGGGATTACGCTTTCTTTTCTCCTATCTATAAGATAATATACCGGTCGATTCCTCTTGTTTGACTAACGCCGGTCAGAATGATTACAAGAAGAAGAAAAAGTTGTCGTGTCGTCGGGAAAATCGATTTACTTATTCTCGTAAAAAGAGAAAAAAAGACAAGATACCTTTTAAAATGTTGATTGCCTCGTTCGGCCCTACGATCCTACGTTAATTAAATTATCCCTGACAATAACGCGAAATAACAGGGGGGTACGTTATATTTCCGTTTAATGGGGGGGGGGGTAATTCCTCGTTCGATAACTTCTTTGGAGGAGAAAAAAAAAAAAAAAAAAAAAATGGTCGCGCAAACAAAATTCTCAACCGGACTGGCATCTTCGCGGAATCTTTTTATCTTGCCACGAATTGCTCCTCGTGCCGTTTCGCGGCGTACGTTCCATAACAACGTGGCTCGTTCGAGTTCTTATTATTTTAATAGAAATTCTTGGCACGGTCTCGTTCCAAAATAATGAAACTTTTCCCGGATAGCCTTTGAAAGTTTCGCTATTTGTTTTTACCGGTCTCGCACCGGTATTCTCGTACGTATATACGTGCATACATATCCGACGGGTCTCGAGAGTCCGAAGTTAAATCGAGCAGCGCCGAACGGATGGAAAAATCCGACTAGTAAATTTGACGTTCCATTGAATAATAATCGTGCCGCGAATCCATCTTCTTGCATTCGTTAAACACTCGACCATAAATTTTCTCCTTATCCTCGAGAAACTTTTATTTCATCCTTTATTTCACCGACTCTTTCTCTGAGAAACCTGACTTCTCTCACGAAAGGACGATTAACTCGCCCTAAAGTAGAATCTCAACTTTTGTCCATAAGATTTTGTCCGCGCGCATCTCTTGTAATTGTTGGACAATCGTGTATTAAATTCACAAAGGGGAAACGTTTTTAAATAACGCGCTTTTATATATTTAATTTCGATGATTTCCCGATTAAAATTCCAATTTTCGATTTGCTTTTGCTCTAGGCGAGGGTATTATAAAAATTCATCGAGGTATGTTAAAGATTCATGAGGGTATTACCACAGGCTATCCTGTTTTCCTGTTTGTATAAAGTTCCCGTCTGTATAAAAGGGGAGTAATCTAATTAATATACACGTAAAACTCTGCCGCAATCTCTAACTTTAATTTTTTACTTTTCTTTTCTTTTTTTTTTTTTTTTTTTTTTTTTTTTTTTTTTTTTTTTTTTTTTTTTTTTTTGTTTCTCGCTTTTTTATTTCGGGTAATATACTCGTGGAAGGAACGAAAACCCGCGAACGAGCCACCAGCATAAGTAAGGAAGCGACCTCGCTGACAAGAGGATCTTTTTCTTTTCGAGAAGATGAAGTTTCCTAAACTTTAGCCGAGCAACAGTAAGTCCGTGGTTACCCAGTCTTTCTAAGAGTGGAAACTTTAAATTATCATTAAAATGATTCGCGGATCGTATCATCCTTTAGAAAGGGCACCAACTTTCCCCCTTGTTTTCCTACCTGTTATTTCGTTGACAAGAATTATTACCTGCACGCCCTTATTTCGCGTGAAAATTACGCTTTAATCCGATCGATCGTACTTGGAAAATTTTCCTTCGCTTATCGGGATCGTTCATCAACATTTGTTTTAATCCACGATCGAATCTCGTTCGAAAACGTAACACCGTTTGTATTAAAATTACGAACCACCCTGTGAACATATCAGGATCGATATGAAAGTTTGACCACGTTCTACATTATCGAATATTTAGAGTTCGAGCCATCGAAATGTATACACGATCGCATTTTCGCCTTGCGTTTCTTTTCCTTCCATTTCCATTTGACACCCCTATCGCATCCCGTTGTTGGCAAATAAACACGAGGAAAGAACAATCCTCGGTTTCCAACAAATCCTCCAGGGCTATTGGAACGAGGCGCGCATAAATATTTGAAGGGGTCGATTGGGTAGGGCGAGAAGGGGTTAAGTAAAGTCCAGAGGAAAGCCTCTTAACGAGAATCCCTCCTCGCGGGGGGAATAGGTAGATAGCAGGTTTGTTGCCGTGGAACCCACGTTCGATCCTTCCACCAACGACATGCCACCAATTTTCCTTGATTCGATGCCTATTTTTTCAGAGTATCCGACAGCGGCCACGGCGGAGATCGTGCCGACGAATGGGAATTCGTTAGAAGCGAGCATGAAACCATTGGACATCGATCTACCGCCCACGCTTCCGATGAGCTTCGGCACCGAAAATTCGACGGTGATCTCCGCCCAATCTGGATCCACCGCGCTCCTGCCTTGCGTCGTTCATAATCTCGGGGATGGAATGGTGAGATTCCGGGAACATTCTTCAAAAAGTTTTTGAAAAAGCATTACCTGCCCTCCCTCCCCACCCCCAGGGTTTCAGACGATCCGGGCTCCCAAGAGCGTAGAAAAGTTATTATCATATCAACGTAAGAGCCGAACGGCTGGTCTTTGGGGGAATCGAGGGAAATGGGGGGTGACGGTCCGGGGATAGTCCGGAGGAAAAGTGGTATGTGCTGTAGGACTTTTTCTCTTTTTTTTAGAAAAAGGAGGAAGGATAAAATCGTCGTCTCTTCCTCTTCGCGTACACGGATTTCTACGAGGAATTAAACGCCTCTCGTTTAGATTCATCGTACTTCTAGATTCATCGTAGATCAACGTCATTTCTCTAAACTATACGAATCCTTTTGATCCTCTCTTATATCACGATTATGAGTGAATATATCGGGAGGAGAGGGAGGGAAATGTACGGACGGAAAGAAAGATTTTAATCGAAATAAGGACAGCCGGGACCTTTCTAAATTGAAAGGTTTATTTGCGGACCGGATGAAAATGGAATTAAAATGTCGAGAGTGGAAGAACATGGGATTTTTAACTTTTCACCCGTGTCCCGTCTCTCCCGATTATATTGTTAAGGGACGAGTGGTTTTCAACATGCTAATACTTTTCAATTATATCCTATGAAACGGCAGATGTTTTATTATAGTTTCTCGGGGAATTCCGTCCGTATAGAATAAAAGACTCGAGTATGAGTGCGATTGCCTCAATGAAATTTTTCGACAAGGGGAGGAAAAAAAATCGGAGATCGAAAAATCGAGGAGAGAGAGGATAAATCCGAGAGGAAATTTAGTCTCTTTAACTCAACGAGTTTGAAAAGTTTCGAAATAAAATGTTTGCGTTTCCCTTCGTTCGTTAGACGAACTTGTGCCTCCTCGATTCCTTTGTTAGTTTTAGTTTACCTGTAAACTAAGACTCTAAGGCGGTACAAGACTTCGAAATCAATGCGAGTACCGATTCGATATCTTCAACTTTCCTATAAATTCTTCGTGTAAAAAAAAAAAAAAAAGGCTTTGGATGAAACGAAACTTAACGCTTCGAAGAAGAAAAAAGAAAAAGAAAAAAAGAGAAAAAAGAGAGAAGATCGTGCATTGTTTTATAGTCTTGTAGAGCGTGTACGACAAAGAGAGAAAAAGAGGAGAAGGAGGAGAGGAAGAGAGAGGGAATAAGCGCATTCGATTTAAATTAATAATAAAATTCCATAATACGGCATAAGCATCTCTCGAGGAGAGCGAAAAACGTTTTCGTTTCGTAAATATTACGAAAGTCAAACGAATAATAGCCGTGTGTATATCGTTTCTTAATCGTTTCCCGGAACTTTATCGCCGCTCTGTTATGTTTCAATAATAAACACTTTCCGTGTCGTGCGCAATTAGTTTTGTTCGAGAGTCGGTCGCGTTCACGTTGTCGTATATACGTTACGCGATACGCGCGATTCAACGTGATTTAAAAGTGTAAAAAAGTGGGAAAAATGCAGTTTTTCGATGACCTTCGTTTACTCGTTGGGCAAGAAAAGGGAGGAGATCAATTAATGCCGCGCGTTATTTCCGCGGAACGACAAATCTAAGCAAGAAAAGTTCGATAATGAAAATCTTTTTCACATCCAATCGTACCGCGTTCGTTTCTACGTTACACGCGTGCAACGCAAGAGCATTGTCGCGATTCGAAAACCGAATTCCTCGCTCGAACGAGGAGAGAAAAGGAACGAAAGAATTTCTACCGTGTTCTCGCAATATTCACGAAACTTATCGCCGCGTTATTTGTCTCCGTATTCGCTCGCACGATGGCCGAGTTACGCAATAATTGGGTGGTCGAGCACGGACTATCGGGGGTGGAGCGAGAACAGGGGATAAACCGGTTGGAAAGGGGAAAAGAGAAGGTTATGGGGGACGGGAGGGGGATGAATACCGAGGTCGAGTTAAATCGACGCAGGTGGAAATCAATAGGAAGGTCGACGTCGAACAATTCGCACGCTACTTCTATTGCCGCTACGTGCTCGGTGGTCCGCTCGTATAAAATTTCATTGCGTGGTCGGAGAAGGAAAAGAAAAGCGGAAGAAAGCGGATAAAAATGGAAAGAGAGGGAATCGTGGGAATGGAAAGAAGGGGAGGGGGATGGGAAGGGAAAGAAGATAATGAAACTGGCCGTATCGCTGTGCCCGTGCATCGCCGGATCTCGTGCAAAGTCTTTTGCAATTTTGCGAGAACCTTGTCCTCTAATTGAATGCGACATCTTCGAACTGAAAGAAGTCTATGTACGTTTCGACTTATCCCTTCAAGATTGCTTTCTCCCTTTATACTCGATACGAAATTCCTCTTAGCTGGCCAACGGAGATAGGGAGAAGAAAACGGGGGGCGGATACATCGTATCGACGAGCGAAGTTTTCCCTATGACGTTCCGCAAGATCGAAACGGCAGTTAAAATACGCGACGCATATTTACGTGTTTCGCGTAAAGAGAATCGTTGATGTTCCACGGGAGATAGAGGACACGGCATGGAAATAAGGACAAGTATTTAAGCGCGCAGGAATTTACCTACATGCGATTCGATTTTCCAAGTTTCTTTGTCTCGCGATTCATTGTGAACGGCTTCTTCAATGTTCATCGGCATCCGTCATTTCTGACTGCGTGCGTGCATTGTATGCGGTGCATTTATAAAGAGGTAAACAGATCGTCTCGAGAAACTTAATAATACCGCAGCTATTTCAACCTCGTATATTCTTGTCTCTTTAATTAATAGCGTGAAAATCGAGCGACGCGTGTAAATTACGCTTTCTTGTATAAATTCCTATGTCCTAGCTCGTTCGAATTTCACATTTTTCGATTAATTTTTCGATTAATTACATCCTTTTACCGTTCTTTTTTCCCTTTTTTTCCCCTCCCTCCCTCCGTGTTATTATTAAACCTCTCATTAATGCTAAGTAATACGCGCGATCCAAGGTCTTTCTCCTTTATCCTTCTCCGTTTCGCTATCTCTACTCTTGCCATTTCGCTGCAGCCCTGTATTACAGTAATGGGTATTTTGGTTAAACGGTAGCTTGATAATCCGCATTCCACCCCGCCACGTGACAGCATTTGTGCCGCTCTTTGAAGCTTTTATCCCGATTGCACCGGTCGAAAGTTGAATGAATGTCCCCTCTTCTTTTTCTTCCTTTCTTTTTTCTTTTTTATCCATAGTTAGCTAACTGCGTTCCGAAAAAAAAAAAAAAAAAGAAAAAAGACAGAAAGAAAGAGGTTTAAACTCGATCGGTTAACGGAAATAAGATCTCGAGAGAGGCTTGTAGGTTATGGGTGGTGGCCGCCTTTCAGACCACGTAATTTATAATAATATTTAGATTCGGTTGAAACGAGACGGGATCGAAACGCGATGTAAATCTAATTATATCGAACCGCGCGATTGCCCACTCCCCTCTCTTTCCTCTCTTTTCCACGCGAATTCCGATGAAAATATCGCGAGAAATTGCGACGATATTTGCCAGATACTGTCTGCTCGTATCGGGGAATCGCGTTATTCCCCGTCCTATAAATGTTGGTTAAGAGAGAACGCGGCGGATGAATTTATTTTAACGAGAGGTTACACGAACGCAAAACAGGGGAAGCGAGGAAACAGGTCGGTCGGTCGAGCGAGCGGCCGGGTTGTTGCAGACGATAGTTTGCTCGGTTCATGAATAATAATCCTCCCTTTCGAGTTACGATTTAAAGGCAAGAAAATAGCAATTACTCACGAGGCACTCGTGTTTCGCGAGTTCTTTCTCGCGGTCTAAATTTAACGCGAGAAATTACGTTAAGAGAATCCAGACCGCGGTGTAGGTAAGGAGGGAACTTGGAACTATAACTCGTTGTGGATGTCGTGGAAACGGGACGACAAAACTCGGGCGGGGATCATTAATATGGATCGAATCGGATATTTTCGAACGGAGGATGCACAGCAGGAATACACAGAGTTCGTTTATAAGCTCGTGCGTTCTAGCTTATTGGTCGAGGGACGATATTCCTCGTTTTCCGCGGGGACAAAAGTTTCATAAAGGTGTGCACAGGCAACATCATTACGTGTCGCGGGGAAGGGAATACGGAATCAAAGCGGGCACGAACGAGCTTTTTGATCGGATTGCGCGACGTTTATATCAGTTTTTTTTTTTTTTTTTT